TTAATTTGGTTTCTGAGAGATTCAAATGAGTCCAGGTGAATCCCCCGTTTATAATCTGTCCAAATGAAATCATCTGAATTCCGTCCAATTTGGGTTTAGTCAAAACATACGGTTGACAGCCTCGGGGAAGGCGTTTACCTGATGAGCTCCAAGAAAGGCGAAAGCGGCCGTGGGTCATCAAAGAGTTCTCAACTACCTTATGGGGAGTCTGTTAGAGTATATAGTGTATTGCGACATCTCGAATATCGTACCAAATGAAACATGAGGCGGCTTGGTGCAGCACATTCAGTTGGAGAAAATCGTAAATGAGGTATCCAGCTGGATTTCAGTTGAGTGTTGGAAAACCAAACGGGTATGCAAGTGAGTGTTTTTGTAAAAAAAACAAGCCCTTATAAAGTTTAAGGTATCCGTTCCATATTGCGGCTTTCAACGTCCGTACTCTGTATCAAATTGGCCAACAAGTAGCTCGAACCTTGTCCTCTCTTTTAATCGATGCATGTCGTCTACATAGTAACACTAGTTATATATAAGGAACTGATTAGTTATGGCAGAACCAACAATCCGTGGATTTCGCCAAATACTCTCAATTACACATTAATTTGGTTTCTGAGAGATTCAAATGAGTCCAGGTGAATCCCCCGTTTATAATCTGTCCAAATGAAATCATCTGAATTCCGTCCAATTTGGGTTTAGTCAAAACATACGGTTGACAGCCTCGGGGAAGGCGTTTACCTGATGAGCTCCAAGAAAGGCGAAAGCGGCCGTGGGTCATCAAAGAGTTCTCAACTACCTTATGGGGAGTCTGTTAGAGTATATAGTGTATTGCGACATCTCGAATATCGTACCAAATGAAACATGAGGCGGCTTGGTGCAGCACATTCAGTTGGAGAAAATCGTAAACGAGGTATCCAGCTGGATTTCAGTTGAGTGTTGGAAAACCAAACGGGTATGCAAGTGAGTGTTTTTGTAAAAAAAACAAGCCCTTATAAAGTTTAAGGTATCCGTTCCATATTGCGGCTTTCAACGTCCGTACTCTGTATCAAATTGGCCAACAAGTAGCTCGAACCTTGTTTTCTCTTTTAATCGATGCATGTCGCGTCTCCGAAACACGTGTATAAGACCCCAGCTCGATCACTCATCTCAAAACCAGATTTCTCGCACTTTACTCTTCGGGTGTCTAGTGACCCTGATTCAAAAACTCGCGGTATCTAAGGCGTGGAAGTTATGCTTAGCTCCAAGGCTGAATGCGCCTTACTGGACTAGATTCTAGCAAACAGTTGTTTTTGCACTGTTAAGTTGACCGACTGATTGGTACAATCAAGATCAATGCATCTCGACGTGGTAAAAGGTGTTCGTTTATTGTCATTATGTGTACCGGAGGACTGCAGCTCTGAGGCTGAGAAAAGCAGCTTCTATCTTGATTTGTTACGGTTATTCCGGTCGTCATTCTGACAGGTGATACGAATGCTTGGGTTGAGCGACCAAGTCCTGATGAAGTCCATCTTTGCGGCCGATTCGAGGCTGACGCTCACTGCACAGACAAATGGCTAAAGTTTACGAAGATGGATACGCATTGTGAGGAGCATGATCGAAATCCGTGAAAATTGAAGGCGATTATGAATGAAATAACAAATAAACATCCCACTCCTGCAAGCCATATAGAGGAACTGATCAATATACTTCACTTGGAGCCTACAAGGCAAGTGTGGGCATGCGAATTGTACTCAGTTTTTCCTCTGTCTGACCGGTACTTTCTATTCATGTGGAACACTTACGGTTGTTTGAAAAAAAGTAATCCGTGAATTAATACAAGCCTAAAATCGATTTTCAAAAAACAGTTTGAACATATTGAAATTAATCAACCAACCTTTGCAAGTCGATCACCCGTATCACGATTATATATCCGTAAATAGCGATCCAGAGATGAAGCTATTAAGAGTGGCTGCGAGTCGAATAAGGCTGTTGAGCTGGTGGCAGGAGAATTCGCAGAACCAGCTCCCCCACAAGCCAGCCCAGTGATGCTTCCAGATGCACCAGGAAGAGTACGCAATATAGAAATTAACCAACCAACCTTTGCTAGTCGATCACCCGTATCGCGATTATATATCCGTAAATAGCGATCCAGGGATGAAGCTATTAAGACTGGCTGCGAGTCGAATAAGGCTGTTGGGCTGGCGACAGGAGAATTCGCAGAACCAGCTCCCCCACAAGCCAGCCCAGTGATGCTTCCAGATGCACCAGGAAGAGTACGCACGCCAACAGGAGGCTCCGGAGCGCGAGCACCGCGACTCTTAATCTGACCAGGGTAAAGTGGGGCTTCATCATCGTCACCATCCGCCACCATGATAGATTCCTTGGGAAGACGCAAATCCAGGAAACACAAGTCTCCTATCGCATTACCGGCAACTATTCGGACACCAATTCCTGGAGCTTCAGTGAACGCCAATCCACGAGGAATCGGACTGGTAACAGCCAAATAAGGGAGAATGGCTCCATGTGAGCAGGTTCCAACTTTTACTTTCCCATATTTCCGGCTCATTCTCCAAGCATGGCGGGAAACCGGTCGTCTTTGGCCACAGCGAATATCGTAAAGGCATATCTTCGGACAAGACAAGGGTGAAAAAGCAGTCAACCTACAATCATTCAATTGGCTCGACAAATTTGATCAAAAATGCGTCTACTACCATTATTATCAAAAAACTAGCTTCACTGGGACTGTTCTAGGAGACGAAGAAAATATGCCGAAAACATAAACATGAATGATAAACAAAAGAATGAAGGAGCTGAGACAGTATGAAGGGGAGCATCCAATGAAAACAGGCACATGGAAGTGTTGACAGATAAGGAAACTTTATCAGCCCACCAAGATATGATCCACTCTGAGA